GAACTTGACCGAGGATGTGTAGATGACACAACCCGAAGATTTTGTCGATCCAAGGAACCCGGGGAAGGTGTGCAAGTTTCAGAGATCCATTTATGGACTAAAGCGGGCTTCGAGGAGCTGGAATCTTCGTTTTGATGAGACAATCAAAAGGTTTGGTTTCTCATAGAACGAAGACGAGCCATGTGTTTACAAGAAGGTTAGTGGGAGCACAGTAGTATTTTTAGTGTTGTACGTGGATGACATTCTCCTTATAGGCAATGACGCTCCTACTTGCAAGACGTTAAGTCTTGTCTAGGAACGCAGTTTTCTATGAAGGACCTAGGAGAAGCGGCCTATATTTTGGGCATCAAGATCTATAGAGATAGATCGAGGCGTCTTCTAAGATTGTGTCAAAGTACCTACATCGATAAGGTCTTGAAGCGGTTCAAGATGCAAGATTCCAAGAAAGGAACCTTACCGATGAGCAGTGGCATAATTCTCTGCAAGAGTTAGTGTCCTACGACACCTGATGAGCGAGAACGCATGGATCGGATTCCATATGCTTCGGCAATTGGATCCATCATGTATGACATGCTTTGTACTCGACCGGATGTATCCTACGCGTTGAGCATTACGAGTAGATACCAGTCAGATCCAAGTGAGTCAGGTTACCTTGTTCAAGGTGAAGGAATTCCACGATGCAGTGGCCTTAATTCTGCCTCCGGTAGTACTTATGCTCGAACTTTGTCCAGAATTCTTCCCACGAGAACTGGTGTCCTGCGGGAGCCTCACGTACGACTCCCTCCCACCAATGGCGAGTCAAGCCAGCCAGATGATGGATCGCTATCTCTGTACGATAATACAACGGGTACCGAATGTAGTCAAAGTGATGAGTGATCCAGATAAGCCAATCTGTTACTGCCTTCCGGGTTAAGAGAACCCTTAAACTCTAGAGTATCCAGGGCTCGGAGTTCCTTGATAAATGGCAAGTAGTCCACTACCACTTGCTCTGAAAACCTCGAAGAGAGAGGCATCGGTGGTGGTGGTGGCAAACTTCCCTCCGGCATTGCCGTAGGTGGTGCTACAGGCGGTGGCGGTGGTGGTGGCATACAACCTCATACAAACTGCCAAAAGTTCCCCTGAAACATTGCGAACTGACGTCGCAATTCCTCCATGTCATTATTCGGCGGAGGTGCCCTTGGTCCTTCAGGTCGTTGTGTAGGTGAAACACGTCGTAGAGGCATAGCTACTGCAGACAAGAAACTTTACTTAGTTTCGGGACCTGGTGATCATGCTTAAATTTTGTAAAATCTTTTAAAAATTATTTCTTCCCATTCTCAAAACCAGTGAAAATACGAGCATATTCTTTCTCCGTGGAAAGAACTGCTATGATACCAAAAGTTGTGACGCCCGTAACTCGTATCCGCATTACGAGTTGCTTCACATGGACGGCTAAAATAAAAACTCAATTCCAAAAAATCAGCGGAAATTTAAAACTTTTCTTTTTTAGAGTTAGCGGAAGGAAAACATTCATACATACGTATATGATACATTATTCCAGTTATAATTATACATAAACGAGTGGTAGCGTTAACATTATTACAAACCGTAAAAGTCTACCACCGATATAATACAAACATATAGCAATATTTATAATATATATATATATATTATATAAATATGTAATACGGGTTAACGCTAGAGCTATTATCTCAGGTAGATGAAGAGAGTGGGTTAACGTATGAGTTGACGTTATTGAAATTAAACGATACGGATTAATGCGAGAGTTGGTACCAAGGTACAAGTTGACATTAGAGTCGGCGCCAGACTCTTGGGAATACAGATAATGCATAAGTTGGCATTCACCGAGAGACAGAGAATAAATGATGCGAGTTAATGCATGAGTTGGCATCATGAAAATTAACTGATGCGAGTTAACGCGTGAGTTGACATAATGAAAATTAAGCATGCAGATTAATGCGAGAGTTGGCATGGTTAACTAGATGACGTGGATTAACGTGTGAGTTGGCATCATCAGAACTAAATGGTATGGGTTAACACTTGAGTTGGTACCAGGACGCGGCTTGACGCTAGAGTCGACGTCAGACTCTCGGGAATATAGGTTAACGCGTGAGTTGGTATTCGTGAGAGTCAAAGATTAGTGTCGGGCGTGCGGATTAACGCGTGAATTGGCATGGGTGCGGGTTAATGCATGAGTTGGCTCCAATTCCAAGAGACTTGATATTACCTAATGAACTAGTGAAGGTTAACGCATGAGTTAGCACTAGATCATTCGGTTGCACGTAGAAAACTATATATATATATATATAATTGGGTAAATACATACCATAATGTTGGATTCACTTGATAGTGATGAATGAATTATTAAACGTCGTGATTTATTATACATTTAATTGACTTATTTTCAAAAGATGTGATTCAAAGACCCCAACTATATTTTAGAAACTAATTAGAGTGTTCTCATTGAGTTTAAAAGCTCATCCCTTTCTTTTCCACTTTTCAGATTCCTAGACATGAACTTTTATCTTAGAATAAGTAATATCGTCTATGGATCTCCAGATGTTGATTTTGTTTTGTTTTATTTTATTTTATCTTATCAGAATTTGTGATGAATTATTTTGATGAGATGCGTTGAGTGATTATTTTGATTATTATGAATCGAGTTATGAGTATTTTGTTAAAATATTTTTATATATGGTATTAATTTTTCTTCCGATATTTTCAAACGTTTTGTTTTGGTAATTTTATTAAATAAATAATTAAAATAATCGGTGTTATTTTATGAAAGTGGTTTCGGTTCATTTCACATATATAACACCAATTGTCATTCATGCATTCCTCTATCCACCAAAATATTAGACGGTATATGCATGCATGCATATCTAATTGTTATAGAAAATATCAAACAAAAATCCTTAATTTTGATTTACAATATTTTTTAGGATACGATTCTATATAATAAAAAAATTCATATCCCAAAAGGATTGATGACGTTTTAATAATATAAATAGACGATAGCATTCGCATCCCTTTCACATTGAAAAAATTGATATATTTTTTCATGTTTTCAGTAATAGAGATAATATCTCGAAATAATTGTGCATATTACATATTTTTCATCTCTTTCTTTTTTCTATACGTTTTCAAGTTTCAATATTGTAGATGGATTCTCGTGGGACAATGATTCACCAAAGAACCGAAATATCAAAAGAATAATCTTTTATCTTTTTTGACTTTTTGGTAAATCATTGATCCAACAAGAATCCAAATTTACATTGATCATTGAAGAACTAATTAATGGCATGGACCGGCAATATCTTTTTCTGGTCGAGATCCGACATCGGTTAGGCTCTCCATGTTCTTTTCTTTGCCGCAACAAAGAAACTCTATATATATCATATGTCGTACATGTCATACCATCTAATGTCTAAAACTACCATTGGATTGAATGCATTCATATCCCAATTTTCGTCTAGAATGTATGAGGCATTTTAGATTCACTCTATAATTATGTTTTACACGGTAATTTTACAGATTTTACATAAAGATATAAGATTTTATCTTTCCTTGATCGTCTTTATACCGTTTTTTCGTCTTCATACTTCATATTTTGTAGCCCTTCAGGACCTACTAGGCGAGGTCACTCTTCGCCTCCACATTCTAAACGAGCCTCTCCACCTCCAAGGTAATCTTCTAGACTCCTGAGTTATATACATACATTCAAGCATGTAATTTTTGTGTATTGATTCACGATATGACTCTCCATCATAGGACCACTCCATCAATTCATCTCTATGTACATCGCACACATAGGTCAATCCAAATGAGTCATACGAAAGGATCTTATATATATCTCTTATTCATATGCATCGCACATACGGACCCGTCCAAGCGAGTCGTACGAGAAGACCGTGCAACTCATACAAGTACTTCACACGTAATGATGGATGTCTGTAATCCAAGTACATCATATGCGAGTCTATTGGTGTGATTAAAATTTTATAGTTTCTTCATAAATCTGATCATATTTTTAACTAAATTTTATAAATGCCCCCATAAAAAATTATGTTTATTATATGAAAAATAAATTTTGACCCCAATTAAAAGTTTTGCTAGGTCCGCTACTGTATGCGAGGATTAAATATGTTCATCATATAACTCTCCATCGTTAACTGATATCACATCTCTCGAAATCTGAATCACACGTCTAATTAATCCAATCCAAACGCCAATCCCTAAATATTTTATTTAACTTTTCATGATTAAAAAAATTTATTAACTTCTTCCTTATAAATTTCCATGTAAATATTTATGGTCCAATATTTTATTTATTTTGTGTTAACTATATTATAACCACTCAATAACAATTTTTTCTAACAAAAAAATAATAAATAAGGATAACATATTTGGTTTCTAAACCTATCAAACATTGAGAATATACACCACTATTGTGTTATTTAAAGTTTAGAAGTATCAAATACTCAAGCTATTTTTTTCCGATATTTTATCAATATTTTTTATTCATTATTAGTTTCCATATTTATGATCTTATATGATAAAGTTTTATATATTGTGAAGATCATGGTTTAGAGAGATTAAATTTTCATCTCATAAAGATCAAACTCTACAAAATCTGTTTTCATCATGAATGTGAAAATCTTATTCTCATCATATTTCTTTGTCCAGTCCTGGCTTTGCTTCTATGAGCAATTCGGTTTAATCCGGTCTGAGAAAACCGTACCACAAAACTAACCGTATCATTTTGGTTTTATTTTGGGGGATCAGTTGATTTCTTTACGATAAAATATTATAAACAAATCTAAATATAATCTTAGTTCAGATTTTGTTCGGATTCATATTCAATCTGAAATTTTGATCAGATCATTTTTTTATCTAATGAGGTAAAAATCCACGAAACAAAAAAAAAAAGTGTCCTTTTTTATCCAAAGTTATAAAAAAAATATATAATTATATTTAAAACCAAATTGGAAAAGAAAATGGAAACTGCGTGTCTATACATTTCGTGTTTAGCCGAACACATAAGGGTCAACAAAAAACCGTGTGGATAATGGCGGAAGAAGAGGAAGAATCGACCGTCACGAAAACGACGTCGTATCTTCGAGCAGCGGCCGAAGGAAGAGGAATCAGCCACGTGGAGAGTTTGATCCTCCATGGCCTGGAGATCGTTCATGTCGGACGAGGAATCCTTCGTTGTAACATGCTCCTCACGGATCGCGTCTCCGTAGATTCTTCGATCTTAATCGATTTTTTTCTGATTCCATCGGATTTTTTTTGTGTGTGAGTAAATCTGCCGATTTATTCTCAGGACGGCGCCGGAAATTGGAGCGTCGGAGCGAGGGCGGCGGCGATGGATACGATCGGCGCCGTCGCCGTGTACTCCGACGGCGACGGGGTCTTCTCGTCCGTTGATTTCAACTGCTCCTTCTATTCGACGGCCAAGATTCAGGTTTGACTCCCTTGTCTTTTAATTTTTTCTGCGGAGTTTGTCTCCTTGATTTTTATATTTTGTTCTGATACAAAATATTTTCTATATTTTTAATCAGATGGAAAATGGTGATTCTACTTTTAACATGGATTTATCTTGTATATAAACTCATATCTAAAATATTATACGAGATATAATATTATTACCAACTATTTATTGATTTAGTAAAAAAAAGAAATTATAATCAGTTTTAAAAATGGAAAAAAAATTGAATTAAAAATTGCAGGAGGAAGTGGAGATGGAAGCGAAAGTGGTAGGGAGGAATGGAAGTCTGAAATCAGCCAAAATCGAAATTAGAAGAAAAGGCAATGGAGATTTGGTGGCAATGGGAAGACTGTGGATGACGAAATTTAGCCTCAACTTCAAGAGCAAAGCCTCTTATCTAAGCAAGCTTTGAATAATCAAACCCCAATTTTCTTTATATTATAATCTTATTATTTTCTTATAAAATTGGTATCACCGTACATAACATTTGTTGCTCGAGTTATTCATCCAAGAATTATGATCGAATTATCCAAAATAAATATGATGAATTTTCAATTTCGTGGTAATAAGTTTCTGCAATGGAGGTAGGCAAAATTACTCAATTTTCAAAGATTCTAATAATTTGGATTTCAAATTCATGTTTATATATCGTAATTATTTAAATCGAATTTAGATTCGAATTTTATCGATTATAGTCGAATTCAACTTTTTTTTTAAAATATAATAAAATTATTATATTCATTAAAACTGATAAAATTAGTTTTAGTGTTTTTTTTAGTGAATTGGGCTCTAAATTGAGTAGATATCAAATCTTAATACGGAAGGTATTCAGATACAGATTCGAATAACTAATTAATTAATAACAGGATAATATAATTTTCTCTTGTTCCACCTATATTTTTTTAGAAAAAATTTTCATAAATGTAAAAAAAAAAGTCTTTGTATTCTATACTTCTACTATTGTAATCTTTGTATTCTATACTTTTTAATTTAAAATGATCATCATACCCTTCTATATTAATATAACATGCAGATTTTCTGTATTTATAAAAAAAAAACATTTGCATAAATTTGGTTTTCCTCCACATATATAAAAAAACACTTATATGGATTTTGTTTTCTTATATAAGTATAGAAAAACACTTGTATGGGTTTCGTGAAAAAATACTTGCACGTTAGCAGGTGCGACAAGTGCTGTAGTTGACCTACCGCAAGCCGTAGGTACCGAAGATGACCTGCCACAGGCCGCAGGTCATCTGGCAGACCGTATGTCATCTGCCGTAGGCTGTAGATCATTTATCGCAGAGCGTAGGTCATTTTTCACAGACGGCAGGTCATCTTCTACAGTTTTCTTTTACAGACATTTCATCAAACACCTTATGTACATACAAAAAAAAATGATCAGAATATAACAGAAAAAGAAATCAACTAGAAGAGTATTTGAATAGATTAAACAAACTGTAAGAAATAGAGGAGATAAAAAAAATGTTGGAGAAAAAATAAGATCAAATAGCAAAACGTTTCGATTTGTAAAAGATAGATTGTCACAAAAAATACTTGCATGAATTTCATTTTCCTCCGTATACATGAAAAAACACTTATATTGATTTTGCTTTCTTATATAAGTATAGAAAAACACTTCCATGAATTTCGTGAAAAAACAATTGCACGTTAGCAGGTGCGATATGTGTCGTAGGTGACCTACCGAAAGCCATAGGTGCCGAAGATGACCTGCCGCAGGCCGCAGGTCATCTAACAGACAGTAGGTCATCTGTCGTAGGCTATAGATCATTTACCATAGAACGTAGGTCATTTTTCACAGATGGCATGTCATCTTCTACAGTTTTCTTTTACAGACATTTAATCAAACACCTTATGTGCATACAAAAAAAAAAAAAGATCAGAATATCACTGAAAAAGAAATCAACCAGAAGAGTATTTGAATAGATTAAATAAACTGTAAGAAATAGAGGAGATAGAGAAAATGTTGGAGAAAATATAAGATCAAATAATTGTTGGGTTCCGTCGCTACGGGTTCCTAGCATGCGATCTCATCGCTCTAGGGTTTGGTTCCTAGGTTTCATGCAACGGAAGAAAAAGATCTAATCCTAGCCAAAAGTCACACAAAACCAATTGTGCAATAACCCGAAAGAACGTGTATATCACCGTGGGATTCGAATACTTACCTCGTTCTATCAAGATCTGGAAGTATCAATCGATCCAGGGCCTGTTTTAATCACCTAGAATTGAAAGCACAACTCCTCTACACGTATCTACACCGGCGGGATGAATTCCAACACCTTGGAACGTATCTGCTAGGATTTGTGAAGAGAAAACGACGTCTTTGACTTGGAATCTATATTCCGGTGTTTAGAACTCAAGAGAAAGCTTCTCCAAAGCTCTAGGAAGGTCTAGGACGTCTGAGGATTATTCCTTAGGGTTTGTGGTGGCTCCCCTCATTAATTAGGATTGCCCAAAACCCTAAAACGCGAAATAGGAAACTGTCCCGTAAGTCGGATCATTCGGTCCAGGTACGGAACGGACGGTCTGACCTTCTACGCAGAACGAACGGTCCGTTACTCTACGCAGAACAGACGGTCTGCACGCCTGGACCGGACGGTCTGGTGCTTGCGGAACGTTCGGTCCATTCTTCAGCGGAACGGACGGACTAACATGGCTGGACCGTCCGGTCAAGGCCTGGACCGGACGGTCTGGCCGTCTGGAATCCTTCCAGCTCGTTCTATGGTTCCTTTCTCGCGTCATTTTCTTCACTTGTGATTCATCCCTAATGGTGTGTGATCCTGTAAGCCCATTCGAAGTGGTAGTGGCTTCGGAAACCCTTTCCCGAACCACAAGTCATGGTTAGCCTCTAGCAAGACGCCATTACCACCCACCTAGAATAGAGTTAGAGGTGATCTAACAAAGCCAGCAATAGTTCGAGTTCTGATCCTTTGTCTCACGATGTCGTATGTTGAACAAGGGCATGGTATGAGCCACCCTTCAAGTTTAACCGCTTACTCGTCTAGGCAAATCGACTGATAAAATAGATGTACCTTCATCTATAGCGTGGCCACACATTTTCACAGTCCGATTTCCACGAGGGGTCCAGCGACATCTCTCCTGTTAAGGAGGTGACAAGTCCCGTATTGCATGTCTACTACCTCCATATGATTCGTGAACGTATCTGATCAACGCCGTTATAATCATCGGGTTAAAGAGACGTTTTGATGAGGACATTGGAAGCACGACGGAACAAAATGGGAGTAACGTGGATCACATAAGTTTTCCGGATGGACCCATGACGAGATCAAAGACGAAGAAGCTACAAGCTGCTCTAAATGGGCTCTTTCTTGAATGTTTGGGCCATGAACACATGGAAAATAACATTGACCCAAGTCATACACAAGTCCAGCCCATTTTCAACATGATATCAAGTGAAAAAAACCCAAAATGAAGGCCCAAAAGTTGCAGCCCAAGTCCATGACGAAAATGACAAAAAAAATCTGCATTTTGAGTCTTCAATGTTGCTTACAATCTACTCTAGTCAAAGTCCAACACTATTATGACTTTGTTTTCCAA